CTGATAATTTGTCACTCATGACGTATTCTGCCCCCATTGAAGTAAGAAAAGATCCGCGTGTAATTATAAAATGAATTAAAAAATAATTTGTTGTTGATGGACATTTGTATATTTACTGTACTAAATTAAGTTATATGGGACCGACTTGTATGTTGCATTGTTGGCCGATGCCATAGTACTACACCTGTACATAGCGGTGTCCCTGAATTGCGCAATATAGCGCATTCCCCCATCGCACTTTGAAGCATATAATTAACAGATAAAGTCATATTGTATCAGTTCACGAATTGGGCACCAGAGTTTCTATCCAGTATTGGTGTAACTTATGGTGTTATGAGGTATTGATATCAGAAAAAAATTAAAATGTGCCAGATATAAACACAGATTACATCTTCTGAAAGGTCTTTTTATCCAGAATTTTATACTTTTGTAATTTTGATATTACCTCTAAAATTAAAGGTAATATCATAGTTTTTTTATTTTTGTTAGATTCTTTATTTTATTAGTTTATTATTTTAAAAGCAAAAACTGCCGTTCCACATGCCAACATGTGACATGTATTTTTATTGTTATTGTTAAATAGATTATTATTGTTGATATTTCAGGATAATGAAACCCTCTTTCACCTTTTTAATATCTGGCCTTTTTCTGGCTTACGTTGGACATTCCATCTGGACAATTTATGGGATCTTTTTTCCTACACCATGCCCACCAAAAAGTAACTGCATCAAGCCATACCTTGCTCAAAAGCCACAGCTAGAGGTAATGTAATATTTATATGAATTTCAGGTTGAACACTCACTGAGAAATATTTTATGGTTAGTGCTTTTTATAGGTCAAATGTGAGCTATGTTTTTTTTTTTTTTAATTTTTATTTTTGACATTTGTTAATAACTGCTGTTTCATGCCCAATTTGACGAGTGGTTGAAAGCTCCTCGTGTCACTTAAACACATCTGCTAAAGAATCATGATTCATGTACATGTATATTTGTGGTAGAAATAAATGCCAAAGATGAATTTTATAATGCTTCATAATGGTAAGGTTACACAGACTTAAAATAATGATCACTATTTCTCTTCTTTATTTAAGTGTGTTCCTATCAGTAATGGAGGAAAGCCGTAGGAAAAAGAGAAAAATATTTTAAAAATTGCTGGTTATTAGCATCAGTTTTAATACTTTGAAATTAGTAATAAATTTGTCATAATATTTGATACAATTATAAATTTCCCACCTTCTTTTGTAGTTAAGGATTTATACATCATTGAAAGAAACTCTTACCTCAGAGAAGAATGCCAAGTTGTTATGGAAGTTGGACGACTTTGATCCAAGTGAGAATATTGAAAAGTTAGTATTATCATGTATGTTTAGAGTAATAAAGATGGTAATTCATAAATAAAGTTTTAAAGATATGTTAAATGTATTTTTTTAAAAGTTGTTTTTATACTTATCTGCAAAATACATAATTATATATCATGTGCTCCCCATTGGCAAGTACTAGAAAATTCAGTGAATAGTCTTTCATCTAACGTATTGCAGTACAGCAGCACAATGATCATAAAATGTTACATTTAAAAAACTTCCAATGTGACTTTTGCTGTAAAAATTGCTGTAAAAAGTAGACAGAAATGCCAAATCATTTCGTGTGTGTGTGTTATATGTTTGCCTACCTGTTTGCACAAATCTCATTAAAGTTGATGGCGTAACTTCATTATTGCATGATATTGGCTCAGAAGCCAGTAAATTTGGCCCAAGTTGCTAAAAATCTCTTTAATATTAGACCTTATTCTGCAGAACTTTCAATGTCACTCTCCCTGCGAAGACCAGGAATAATGGCACACTATACGTCCATGCCCTAGTGTGCCGTAGGGGTCAGTCCCCCTTTGGCCCCTGGACAGTGCTGGCATCCAGCAGGTTGACCACTTATGCTGTGCCTAAAGCAGAAACTTTTAATCTAATGGGCGGTGCAGAAGAGGTAGTAATCTTTCAATTATAATTGATTGTATTACATTAGAATTGCTTAATATTGGTTTGGCCACATGGTCTGATATATTAAAGTGTACTGTCAGTCTTTTGTGTGCCTTCATTTTATCTGTTAAGTGCATTATTAGCATCTTTATGTAACTCTTGTTAATAGTTTGCAGTGATAAGATGCCAGTCCATAAGGTTACAGAGCACAAATAAGTTACACGGAAATGCTTTTATTACAGTATTTTCAAAATATTTTCATTAATAAACAACATTCAAGTGAAGAAAAAAAAATTGAATGTGAAAGATTGTAGATAGATATAGGAAGTGCAATTTTTCTCTCTCTAAGACTGTTGGGTGCTTATGTTCAACTTCTTGAAAAATTTTAAATAAATGTGACTGTGCAGTTTTATTGTTTAAAGATTTCAGAGTTAAGATGTGACTGATATCTATTGTTTACAGAAAAATTTTTTAAATCATATTTATTGTAATTGTTATATCTATCTGTATCTGACTCAGGCACTGTCTAATACAAGGATAGTGGGCAAGACGCAGACCCACTGGAGGAAAAAACTAACAGTTAATGTCATGAATGATGACATAGCATTTGACAGGATGGGCATCCCAGGAGAGATTTACAAAATACTCAGGTAGGACATGTTTGAATGTACACACACTTGCACGGGCATGCACACACACATGCACGGATGTGTAGGTCTCATTTTGCTTGCATGGACATGAATGCACATGCATGACCAGTCAGAATCACACTATTTGGACACATTTTGAATACACAAGGTTCTAGGTATTTGTCTTACATAGAACTGGTTTGTTAAATTCGATACTAAGGACTAGTGATTTATAATATAAATATAATATATTTATTTATATACAGTTTTTTTAAATTAGTTATAACACACAGCAGTATTACCATTTTCCTATAAATTCTATTTTAAAATATTTTTTCATCTCTTTTTATACATTGAAAAATTAAGGGAAATGAAAATGAATTAACACCTTGTTATTTCTCTTGAACTTAATTTGAGAAGGGTACTTGGGGGAGAGGATTTGATGTTGTTTATGCAAACCTTTTCTTGTTTTTCAGGGTTTCCCCAAATGGTGACTATCTTCCTCTTTTATACATTGACCAACTGGGATTTAGGATCAAAGATATTTTGGTAATATAAATGTGAAAATTAAGAAAAGAATTTGCAGTAATGAGTATTTTTAGCTAGCTTTTTTTTTAAAGAAATGTTGAATATTTCCTGTCTAAAACTTGATTTTGTTAATGAGATATCACAGTTTGCATAGGTAAGATAAATTTTTCAAACAAGGACAATTATTGCCCTGACATAACTTGGTTTTTCCATCACAATTGAATTTTGATAATGATAATAACATTTCCTTATTTTAGAAAGGCTTTGGCCTAGAAATATAGATATTTTAAAGATTCATTTAATACAAACATTACTCTTGTGTACATTTAGAAGTCAGCTTTAATATTTTAATTACTAGTGGGATAAGTGCATAGGTTTGACAGAAGCTTAGATAATTTTGTTTTTGATTAATAAAGATATTATAAAAATTGAATTGCTTTTTAGCATATTTATGACAAAAATGTATGACATTTTTCTCCAGTTGGTGAATGCAAGTTCCAAGGAGATGCCTCTCACCATTAACTACTTTCCTATCTCAGTTGGAAAACTCAGAATGTGGCTCCACCTGGAGGAATCCATGAATAGTCTGCATGCTTTAGGTATAGTATAGTATATATATATATATATATATATATATATATATATATATATATATATATATATATATATATATATATATATATATATAATATTTTTTTTTTGGGGGGGGGAGCTGAAACTGCGCCTTGTAAAGAGAATTTTCTAAATTAAGAAACTAAGTTTGGCTATATGTTCCACATGTACAGTTGCTCTCAGTTTTGAAAAGAAATGAAATTGAGTAAAATATCACAGTCAAAAACACATGGCTGAGCCACTAAAATGAACCATGTCTTTTATATTCAATTCTTTGGTAAGAATCTTGTAAACAAAGTATTTTTTTTACTTATGTATTTTTTAGTCAATTGATATTTTAAAAGAATAATCTGCAAATAATAATGGCAAAAGATGTAACACATGTTCTTAATATAATGATTTTGCCCATGGATTTTAATCATAAACAAGAAAGGTTCATCAACCCAAGTGTCACCATGGGTAAAATAAATAAGTAACTTGCAATATTAAATGATAAATAATTGATGTTGTTTAATCCCTCTTATAGGATTTTCAGAGAAGGATACAGATGAAGTAAAGGGTATATTCGCAGACACTAACTTCTACTTTTTAGCACTCACCTTTATTGTGGCAGCATTCCATGTGAGTAGATCCCCCTTTTTTTTTTGAGAAAAAATAAAAGATTAAAAATAAAAGAGAAATGTTTGATAAATTATGTTTATTGCAACTCGTATTAGTTGGATTATTCAAGGTGAAGTTTATTTTTTTTAAATCAAGACTCTCAGTTGACAAATTTCAACCACCTCACCTTTTTTGGTATTCGTTATCCTTTCACAATTTGTCATTTTTAGCTACTCACAAAAAAAATGTATAAGATAAATCAACTTTGTTTGGATTTCTGGGTGTACGGTACTTACCCTAGTTGATATGACCTTCATTCACCTTCCAGTTACTGTTTGATTTTCTTGCCTTCAAAAATGACATCAGTTACTGGAGAAACAGGGACACAATGGTAGGGTTGTCTGGACGTGCAGGTAAGCACTTATTTTTTATGAAGATGTTTACAAAATAATTTTCTAGTGTTAATATGGCACGTTTCTTAACTTAACAAAATACCATATTTGGGTAATTCTTGATTGTAGACTGGAGGCTGGTTTTAACTTAAAGAGGAAAGTTTTTAGCCAACTACAATTCAGAATAATAATGACATACATTTTAGTTGACATACATTTTTCTCTCGTTGATTTTTAGTCCTGTGGCGAAGTATAAGCACATTCATCATTTTTCTGTATTTAATGGATGAAGAAACAAGTTTACTGGTTTTAATTCCTGCAGGCATTGGTACAATAATAGAGGTACGAAAAAAAAAAACACTCACCGAATTATTTATCTTCTAAATAAAATTATTAGATAATGTTAGAATGTATATTAAATGCATTGTTAAGATATGAATTTAAAACTTTTTAAAGTTTGTTTGCAAAAGACATCTTTAAATTCTGATTTCCAGTATAAGGCAATATGACTAAAGAAAAAAAAATGCTTGAATGATGACTTTTCTCTTTTTCATTATTTAAAAGTAAAAAATGACATTGTTACCAATTACAAGATATTTCATTATATCCAAGATATTCATGTTTGTCTATTCAGCTGTTTGTTCAATCACTCAAGAAAATGTTATTTACATATTTGTTTATTTATTGTAGATGTGGAAAGTTACTAAGGCATTTAAAGTACAGATTTTATGGAACCGGTGGAAACCAACTTTCCAGGTGAGTTGGACAAGCATAAGGGTCACAGTATAAACTGTGATTTCAAAGTTTCTAGATTTGAGCCATGTTCAGATTGAGGATCGAGATGGAGACTGGTGATTTTCATGTGTAATGGTAAAACTTGGACACTAAACACCTAACTACAGGTTTTTGATGTAAATTTCTCATTGGTTTTGGAAGGTACTACACCACTGTAATAAAGGCAAAATTGCTGAAATTTCATGGATTTCTTTCACTTTTTGCTGTAAGAAAAGTCTTACTTGCACAGCGTGCCTTTCATTCACTTACAATACTTTTTATATCTAAGTATCCAGGGGAGGGATATGTTTGGAGTTGAATATATTTATCATGATAGATTATCCACATCCAGTATATATAGTATTGTATAAACTCCACTGCTTTCATATGTTACAGCTTGGAGCCACCTCAGAAAAAGAAAAAGAAACAGCAGCTTTTGATTCTGAGGTATAGTATGCATGGTTACATGTGAATTTTGGTGCCATACAGATATACATATACTGCATATCTATTTTTGTTCGAAATCCAACTACATTTTCTAGATAGTATGTTCTAAAACATGATTTTCAGATGTAGCTTTTTATATTAAAGGTATTAAAGGACCTTTTGCCTGGATATTGCATTTGCATATGTAATTATATTTAATTAAACCAAGTGAAAAACTTTTTGACCTGTAAACTGTTGTTGCCAGTTTACTATTTTTTCTTATGATTCACATTTTCAACACAAATAAGGGCTATCATGCTGTGATCCTAGATTCAAAATTCCAGT